CCCCAAAACCCCAAAACCCCAAAACCCCAGCCTACTTTATATTGTCTAAATTGAACGGTTATAAAATCTATATTTTATATGATGCATACTTTGATATTTACATATATTTGAATCAACTTATCCTAGCCTAAAGAAATGTCCCATAATGATAGTTCAACGAATCATTATTAGGATTAGGTATATAACTGAAACTTAGCAGTTCTGCTACTCTAGAAACTTTAAAATTAAGCTGCTTCTTGCTGCAGTTACTGTCTGGGAGATATTTAATTGTCCATCGTAGCTCTGTCATCTTTTATCTACAATTGAACTTTTTCGCCACTGCTGCAATCATCGTTTTCTAATGTGTTCTTATATAGCTTAGTTATTTTATTCTGAGGTGAGTTAGAACTGCCAGGCACAATTTACTTAAGATTTGGGGAATTAATTATACCATTGTTAAGGTAACCCTTTGTAGAAGAGGAAATTGGCAATATTTTACCATCATTTGATTTTAGAAGGGAGTTAGTTCTCTCTATTTTCTTTCTTTGCTATTCACTTAGTTGCTAAGGTGGCTTTGGCTCAAATTTGACATTTTTGACTTATTAGAAATTTTGCTTATAGAATCCAGTCTAAGTACTTTTTCCACCAGCAACATCTGTAAGTTCAAAGTCCATATTAGACTTAGCCCCATTCAACTTGTTAGAATGAGAATCCTGGTCATACTTCTCGCTTATTTTTCTTTCTTCATAGTCATAAATCATTTTGAATTCTTCGTTATACTTTTACTCATATTAGCCCTTTGCCTTAGCCGGGTCTGCTAATATCAACATTGACTTATGAGCCTCATTATATATGTTTGTATTTATGACTTGCTTCTACTAGACTGGCTTTTTTACTATGCAAGGAGTGCAACTAATAGAGGTGAAGCAATTACCGACTCTGCCTCAACTATATTTCTCAGCTACTAAGAAATTAGGATGTTCTTAAGAATCTCCCTTAGTATGATCCAATCCAGTTTAAAGATGCTAAATCCCTGAAAGTTTTAAGTGATCTTTTCTAATATGGTCTACATCTAACTCATACTAAAGAATTGGGTTATTCATGCTCTCTCCAACACCGGCTTTCTAATCTATATTGTTAAATGTACTCCTAGCACTTTCAATATTATCCTCATCATTTATTTTTGCTCCTGTATCTTTATGCTTATCTTGATCTTCAACTAATTGTGTTAAACCTAAGTAAATTTACTGTATTCATCTTTCTTCATGCTTTCGTGCCTTTGCTATGTTATATCTACCTCTTTCATATTTGATGAACTCATATCTTTATCTGGGGTTTCATCTCCCATACTCTTGACCTGGGTTATAATCTTAGATTTCCTCATTATTTTCTTCGGTGAAGCATATAACTCCCAATCTTTATACTCTTCTATACTAATTTCTCCTTTCTAAAATTATAGTTAATAATTTATCATTGTAATTTATAAAACTAAGGCTTTTTGAAACTGAAACGTTATACAATTATTTTAAGATAATCCTAAACTACTTGTTAATAAACTTACCTTTAACTCAAGTAATTTTTACTTTTTTTCTCGATTGTATACTATGTGATCGAAAGTGGTGATGCCTTTTATGTGAAGCCAAATATGAAAAGAAATTAAGTGTCCAGATAGCAATAAAACACATAAATTGAAAACCATTAGAACGTATATAAATATCTCTGTCACTCTAGATATATCATGCTTGTAAAGCTATAAAAATTGTGTGTTGGTTATTACGTAATTCATGAGTTAAAGTTTATGTATTACCTTTTCCAATGACGATTATGAAATGAATTTGTCCTCATTTATAGACCATACAACATAGGATGAAACTGCCACATAAAAAGCAACATATATCCAAAATACGATAATTAACGCCATAAATGCTGCATAGTTAGCTCTCCCAATGCAATTGTTTAGCCAATTACAATGATGATCGAATTCATCACAACATCTGTTACACTATCCACAGTGCTTAGTTCAAGTATTTACATAACCCTCGCATATAGAACATCGAAAACAATAATTTTCATCCTCAAATGTTTTTCCTTCAGCCTCAAGTTTTCTTTATTACAATATTAGAGGATCAGAACAATCTCGTTTAGTTGCGCATACTGCCAGAATTATAATCAGTGCTATCATAATTCCGTATATTGTTTGCACTATAACATATCCTTCTATTGTGTAGTTGAACAAAGCTGGTGCTACTAGTATGTAAAAACTTATACTTTTTATTGCAAAGTAAATCCAGGAACTGACTTGCAGAGTGTGGAAGGGTTTTTAAAAACCATGAATTCTCACAAACTGCTTCTTATCATCATCGAAAGATGACTTAGTCTGCTGCTCTTTCATTAAATTTTATAAAATTTAATTTCTTATCCGATAAATGATTAATGTTATGAGACTAATGGGGTTTTGGGGTTTTGGGGTTTTGGGG